GAGATTTCCCTTTGGTCTTCCTCGGATTATACAACCACACCTTGTCTCCTGGTACAAAGCTGACATCAGTAGGTCTCTTATCATAACATAGCTTCATGGAATCAGCAGACGTTTTCAAGTTTAAACACACTTGATGGTGAATATCATCCATCCTTTTAGATAACACTTTCACGAACTCTGACACATTTTCAGGCAACTCTTCATAAGGTGGGCGTCCTGTCATGAGATCAACTGGCAACTGAAGTTCGTGACCATACATCAACTTTGCTGGAGCGTATCCAGTGGCTTCATGCTATGCTGTCCTATACACCATCAACAGTGGAAGGACTAAGACATCCCAATCATCTTGGCGGCTATTACAAAACTTTGCCAATTCCTATCCCAGTGTCCAGTTGTACTTTTCTACCATCCCATCAGACTGTGGGTGAAGTGGCATTGTTCTGGTCTTTTGTATGCCAAACAACTTGCAGCATTCATGGAAGACAGCTGATTCAAAGTTACGGCCTTGATCTGAATGCAGTTCATATGGCATACCAAATCTGAAGAAGAAATCACCAATAACCAAAGCTACAGTTGTAGCTTCCTGATTTGGTATTGCATATGCCTTACACCACTTGGTGAAATAATCCATCACCACACAAATGTACCTGTTTCCAGCACGAGTTTGGGGCAAAGGACCAGCAATGTGAATGGCTAGTCTTTCCATTGGTGCACCAACTTGATATAACTTCATTGGAGCACATCATTTATTCTTGGGTCCCCTTTTAGCACAACATGTTAATATAAATAAGTTAAATATATATATAAGTTAATATAAATTCATTTTAAATTGGTAATTCGAATGTTTAGTTAATTCAGTTTAGAAAGACAAATTCTTCAATAACAAATTACTTTGATGCCAATGAATAATCTTATCATTTCTTGCTATATATTATGTTTTATTATGTTAACCATTTTATTTTGTCAAACTTCCTTAATTACATATTAATTAGTATACATTATATAATTTTATAGCTAATTTATAATCCATTTAAATTGCTCAACAGAATTAGATTTATAAAGTGAAGGTTCTTGTTGAAACTGAAGAAGCTGAAAAAATTTGTGTTTATTTGATTACAAACATTAATGTTAAAGATTAAATATAAGTATCTTATATTCATTTTTATGGGGACATAGTTTGCATACTTTGAAAGAGACAGGATATGAAGCAGACTTAATTGTTTCTACATCAGAAATAATCTGATAACAAAACACTAGTGATGTAGACATTGTGATGTAAATACACTTGAAAAGTAAATTGTTATCAAATAAGGTTATGAATGTGTATTTAAAACATATCTTAAACCACTCAAAGAATATTTACCTCATTGTCAGTGAAAAAGTTTTTATAGCATTGTTGAATAATAATGAACTGCAAAAACTTTTGTGAAGAAAAACACTAGTTTAAATATTTATTGTACCTTAAGTTACATCATTAGTTTGTAAAGATATCCTTCCATCATTTAAAAACTACTTTACATATCCCACATGGTACCCTACTTTCGCTCAAATACATAGCTATTCTTATTCAGTGCTGCCCTCTATTTGCAAAATTGTTTTCACATGTCACAAGCCTTTCACTCCCACATACCACTCAGCTCACATGGTTTATCTGATTTTTACATGCACATTATTATGCGACAAACCTCCATCAATTGCTCCATCTCTATACGAGTTTGTCCGAGAGGATGTTATAGCTTTGAATGAGCCATCATAACGATTGGTATCCCTCATCCTACATCCACATGGAAGTTGGTTCCCAGCAATTTAATTTTGGATTTAGAGCTGAACTAATCAATATCATGTCCTCACACATGTAGTGTGATTGGGATCCCTCATTCTACCTCCACATGGAAGTCAGTTGAGTTTTGGATTTAGAGCCGAACTAGTCAACATCATGTCCTCACACCTGTAGTGAGATTAGGATCCCTCATTCTACCCCCACATGGAAGTTGGTTCCCAGTGGTTGAGTTTTGGATTTAGAGCTGAACCAATCCCCATAAATCCTCACAAATGTGTTAAAAAGGTGCCTGGTGCCTCACTCATTAATTTCCCCTGGGTGGACTGCTCTGGTGTTGTGAGTCATGGTGGGTGGATTTGTTGGTTGCTCCACTTCTTCCTCTTGTGCTAATCCTCAATGTCTTTATGCTGAGGATGTTACTGTGTTTGAGGTGGTACAGTCTGTTTGGTTTGAGTGGGACATCTATGTATTTCACTCTTCTCACGTTCTGAGATTGGTTGTGGGAATTTCTCCATCCAATCAGCTGAACTTGAGGGGAAGATGGTATGATCTTCTTTCCTACTCCCACTTGGATGTCAGTTCCCACTGGTTAAGTTTTGGATTGTAGTTGACTTACCCATCGTATGATCTTGTCCTACCCCTGCATGGATGTCAGTTCCTGGTGGTCAAGTTTTGGATGTAGTTGATTTGCCATGTATATTGTGCCCTAACCACTCTACATCTCTTCTTTTACCCACCTTTTGTTTATCAGGGAAATTTAAATTATTATATATTGTAGTTAAGATCACTGTCCAATCATTTTCTCTCCCATTAGAATGTGCTCCTCAGAATTGTCTGCTGAATCTGTCTCACCTTTCCAACATCTAAGAAAAGAGTATACCTCATACAGAAATGGTGTGGTATCCCACATATACTCTTATTATTAGAGGGTTCCCTCATGAGGGTGTCCTTTGGGTGCTTTTTAAGGATGCTTCTACTTTTCTCCCTTGCAGTCCCTCCACCTATTCAGTGTGGGATTCTAGGTATGTATGTGAGTGGAAGTAAGGCATCATGTCAGAAATTATAATTTTCCTACACTGAAAATATATTTCTGATAGATACTTACTTCTGCTCATACTGTACACCGGTGCTTAGGTTTCTGCTTAAACTTGAAGAGATACTTACATAGAACAGCATAAAGGGAGTCACATGAGTCATGTGTCGGAGGTGCGTCTATTGGTGAAGGTTTCGCCACATGATAATTTGGTGAATCAGTTAAACCATGTGAACTGAGGGGTACGAGAAAGTGAAAGACTTGTGGCATGCCAAAAAAAACTTGCAAACAGAGGGCAACACTGAACGAGAATAGCTGTGTATGTGAACAGTAATAAGTACCTGTTGTAAATATCTTTTCAGTGTAGGAAAATTATAACTTTTGCTACATGAAAAAGCACAATCAATTATATTTATATATTTCTTCTTCTTTCATTTGGCTCAATAGGATGGGTTACTATAGCTGAGTCTTTGTTGGGTCAGAAAGAACAGCATTTACTGCTGCATGTGAGAGCAGTAGATAGAGGTGTGCCACCCAAATCATCAGAGGTGCTCCTCATTGTTACAATAACAGGTGAAAACCTCCATGCTCCTGTCTTCACAGCTCTCAGCTACCAAGTAATTGTTCCTGAAAATGAGCCACAGAGCTCAGAAATACTAGCTGTGACAGCTACTGATAGAGATCAAGGTATTTAGACTTCTTTTTGAATAAAATATTAAACACATGATTTTTTATTTTGAGGCTCAAAGTATCCAAACCATTATATATTACATGGTTTTGTTATTGTATGTGAAGGATAGATTAAAAGATTGTTATTTGGGTAAGAAAAATTACTGTGAACATTGCTATGAATTAGTGGGTAACATTTTTCATATAAATTTCACTGTGCCAAAGCTAGTGTTATGCAAAATTCACTGTATGGACGTCTTGCCTGATTAATCAACATGAACTCCTGTAAAAAAAAAAAAAGTCCATCTTTATTCATTACATGACAGTTTATGGTACAACAGTTCAAGGTGGCATTTTCTTATAGATTTTGTTTAAACCATGTTACTACTTGCTAATAACAACAGTTTTATTTCAATAGAAAAGATACAATGTATAACAGTTATGTGTTGTGCTTGTGACTTTGAAAAGAACACAAAATGATGTGTGTACAGAAATTCTACCAAACTCGCTTCCTCACATAAAATGTTCATAAAGCTTCATTGGGTGGTGGACTTAAATATGTTTTTTAGAAAATAACTGCTAAATTGATATGTTTGATAATTCCATACTATTATTGTAGTTTTTGCTAAAGTTAGTTTTAGAAAAAAATATAATTCTAAAAATGATAGAATTTACTCAACATTTGTGGGGAAAATGGACAGTTTGGTCTTTGAAGTAGTCAGTGTTCTACAACTTCAGACTTGTTTTTTATAGAACTTTTCAGGATTGCACAGGTTCAGGTATATGTTTTAACTTAGAAAAATATTAAGTTGATAAATAGTATTGCTTAATGTCAGGTGCTCCTAAATGTTAATCTTTCATTAATTATGTGCAGAATGGTTATTTTCAGTTGAGTGAAAATATGAAAAAGTTGGAATTACTAACATCTTGGTCATTTTCAGCAGCAGCCAGTCATCAGATATTAAGTCTCTCTTCACTCAGTTGTCAACAGAAATAAAAGTATATATTTTGAAAATTTATAAGCAACAAAGAATTTTATTTTTACCTAACCTCAGATTATTATATTTTTAGCTCAATGAAATGACTCTTATTTAAATTTTTATTCAGATTTCTGTTTTTCATTTTTTCAGGTCTCAATGGAGAAATAGTTTATTCAATAGTAGCTGGCAATGATGATAATAAGTTCCATATTGGTCGCAATACAGGTTTCGTGACTGTTCAGAAACTTTTGGACTATGAGGAAAGTAATAAGTTCCATCTGAACATCACTGCTACAGATAGAGGCTTCCAAGCAAAACACACTATGTCCATGTTGACTGTTATTATAACAGACATCAATGACAATCCACCTGTTTTTAATGCAACAGAGTTCACTTCTTATGTTACAGAGAACAGACCTCCTGGAACTTACATCACACAGTTAATTGCAAAAGATGCAGATTCTGGAGCTAATGCAATTATTCAATATTCAATTATACAGGGAGATAAAAAAGAACAATTTTCAGTTGATCCCCAGAGTGGCATTATTTTTTCAAAGAACATGTTTGATTATGAAGAAAAAAATGTTTTTGTTTTGGAGATAATGGCTAGTAATCCTGGTTCTTCCCAATACAGCTTGACAAAACTAAAAGTTCATATCAATGGTCAGAATGAATTTTATCCTCAGTTTATACAACCAGTTTTTCAGTTTACTGTAAGTGAATCTGCAAGTATTGGAAGTTCAGTGGGAACTCTGTTAGCCACTGATAAAGATGCAGGTGCAGATGGTGACCTCTTCTTCTTATTTGTTGGCAGCAGCAATGATCGTGGCTTCTCAGTGCAGTCAAGAACAGGGGAAATTACTGTTGCCCGAAGACTAGACAGGGAATCACAGTCTCGTGTGGTTGTATCTGTAATGGTAAAGAATAGAGGAAGTATTAGAGGCAATGACACTGATGAAGCCCAAGTTGTCATTAGTGTTCAAGATGGTAATGATCCACCATTATTCTCTTTGTCATCGTATGAGGCTCAGGTGAGTGAAGCTGCAGAGTTAGGATCAAAAGTCACTACAGTCACTGCTGTGGATAAGGATGTACACCCAGAAAATAGCCATTTTTCATACTCTATAATTGCAGGAAACATCAATCAGGTGTTTGGAATAGATCCACAATCAGGTACAATCCACAATGCTGGAGAACTAGATAGGGAATCCTTAGCAGTTTACAACTTGACTGTTGCTGCTGTTGATAGAGGTTCCCCACCACAAACAGGAACATCCACTGTTCATATTCTTGTTACTGACATCAATGATAATGCTCCAGTTTTTGACCCACCTGATGTTATTGGATATGTTATGGAAAATGAACCAGCATTTACAAGTGTAATGGTCTTGAGTGCTACAGATTATGATTTACCTCCCAATGGTGCACCCTTTCTTTATTTTTTGGCAGGTGGAAGGCATAAAGACTTATTCCAAATTGATCATCACACAGGTTTAGTCAAGACAACTCAGAGCATTGATCGTGAAAGTATTCCAAATATTGAGCTGCTTATTGAAGTTCGTGATAGTGGATTTCCAACACAAAAAGCCCAGCATCCTATTAACATTATGATTTTAGATAAAAATGATAGTCCTTCATCAGTTAGAGCTTTAACTGTCATTGTTTGGGTGTACAATAAGAAGTTCTATGGTGGGAAAATTGCTGATGTTCATCCTTTTGATCCAGACCTCTCTGGTAATTATCAGTGTACACTTCACAAAGGAGACACAGACATGTTTAGGATTCCAAGTAAGTGTGATCTCCATGCAGTACCACTCCAGAATCCACAAAATTACACTATAACAGTGAGGGGCAATGATGGTATACATGCAGATGTAATATCCACAACATATGTTCAGTTCATGAAATTTGACAATTTGACTGTAGAAAACAGTGTAATGATGCAGGTTTTAAATCAGTCCACTGATGTGTTTTTGATGAATCAGTTTCAGCAACTTCAGAAAGTGCTAAAGGATATGTTTCAGGTAGGCATCATGATGTGAAGAGTAAATTAGATTATTTTTAAACCAAAGAAAAAATATTTAGTTTTTCAAATTCTTTATAATCACAGTGTACTTCTAAGTAACTTACTAGTGTAAGTTAGTTTAGATTGAAATACACACATGACTCTCATCTAACATGAACAATTTGTAAAGCCATATAATAATAATAATGAGTTGGTTCTCAGACACATACAACAGTGTTGTAACCTGCAGATAAAATGTTTTTTCATTTTGTGCTCAGTTAACAATGACAATCTATTTATTTCAAATACTATTTGACATATGGCTAAGAGTTAAGCTACGTGATAAACATTTGCCCTCAGTAAAATTCCTGTGAATGAGTATTACTTATTTCGGTATCTTCATAAGTAGTTGTTTAGCAATCTGAAAAATAATGAAAAAAAAGTTTTATTTATTTTTTCAATGTTTTTGAACCTGTGAACTATTTATCTTTTTGTTTACACGGCTTAAACTAGTTTATTTTAATTTGATTATTCAAAAGTGACAAATATTTCTTGGTGTTCAAAGTAATTTTCATAACAGCAGCTTCCTGATTTACTGTAAGTTTTAGTATCAATAACATGTTAGTGTATGCAATTAACTTATTTGCTATACAACATGAGTTGTTGAAGTCACTTTTTATTTGTTAATTGTCAATCTGTATGATGATTTTGAAATACCCAAACAAATCTTTAGACTGTATTAAATCCCAGATCAACATACTGTGCTATCCTGCAAAGATAATTGGTACTTTGGGCAGTCAGAATAAACCAATTTGTTCATAATAACATAATTGAGGTATTATTTTACTTAAAATATTAGTACCTAATTTTGAAAACAGGTTGGGAAAAATGATTACATAACATGCACATATACAAAAATGATTGTACTAAAATCCATATATAAGTTGTTGTTTTTTCTTGCAATTAATTGCATATAGTGTTTTCTTACATTAAACATTTGTGTTAATGTTTTTGATAAGTAAGAATTACATCAGATTTCACAGTTTTGTTTTCTTGGAGGAACTCACTAAATTTCTGTTTTGGTGTTAACACTTCACTATTTAAATAAGGTTAGACTTAAACATTCTACACTCAAAAATTGGATGACATTTTTGTGAAGTTTAAACTGAAGCTTTCACCTTTCTTTTTTCCCTTTATTCTTTAGTCTCTTATGGTTTATGGGTGTGAATGATAGTCAGTAATATATGTAAAAATAAGCAAACTTTGACTGAGAACTCTGATTTCTTTCTCTGCTGCAAGGTTTTAGTATATTTTCTGAGATTGCCTAGTAATGACTTTCAGGAAATTAAAAACAACACTAGTAGGGCTAGTTGTAGTGAATTTAATTATAATGAGCAGTTTCTATTAAGAAACAGGTTTCAACCCTTAGTTTGTGCAGATGATGAACTAGAAAGGGAAGAATAACAGAAGGGGATTGGAATCAAAAGTAAAGGAGGTTATTGTTATAGGAGACTTTAGTGTGGCAAATGGATAGGATAGTATATGGGGTAAATATAGAGAAAAGAACTAGGTTATGTTATCTAGGGGCAGGACTGGAGGATATTAGTGTCAAAGCTGATGATATAATGAAGGGTACTAGCAGTGATAAAGTCTTTGTAGTGCACATAGGATCTTTTGATGTAGGAAAGAGGTCAGAGGAGTTTATTGTTAAGTACAAGGTATTGATAAAGGCATTCAATGAAAGGTGCCATAACAAGTTAATTCTGTCATAGATATTGGAAAGATTTAAATGAGGGGATGAAATTATAAGTAGGTCACTAGGACTAAATGCTAGGCTTAAGTTAATATATAAAGACGAGTAGATTGGCTGATTGGATTTGTGGGATAAGTTTTTTGCTTGCCACTAGCCTTGAAGCTTCTACCTAATTTAACATGTTTCCATGTGGTATTGCTACATTGTTGCATGCAAATGAGCATGTGCCACCCCTCCACTAGTAGGAGTGAAACACCATCTTCTAGCACAGCAGGCCCCCTCTGTACCGATTGTTCAATCATCATTTCTTGATTTGTCACTCGTGTGTCAAGACATCTTTTTCCACTTGAATAAGATTTCTCAACATCAACAACACTTGGTTGAAATATCTACAAAACCAACTTTTGTGGAAATATCTTTTTATTTTACTTTCAAACAATTCTGCCTCTGCAGACCTTTGGCTCTTATTTTCCTCAACAGGAATTTCACAGAGGCAGTCACTTCCATGCTGTCTAGTGTTGAACATCTGGACTTTGTTCACTCTAGCCAGACTACCATAATGGTGTCAGGTGCTTCTTAGTCTGTCAGGGGATATTACAGCTATTGTGTAGTGGGTGGTGGAGTCTTGCATGTGGCCTGGACCTTTTTCAGGCGTTAACACGGACATTTCTCCTCCTATAGTTCTCTCCTCGAAGGTATGGATTTTATGCAGTCTTTCCTGCCACCTAAGTTTGCAACAATTCTTCTAGAGCAGACTTGGATCTACCTCAACATTTTGAATCCTTCAATGACTTTTCTTCTTAGGTGTATTACCTTCTTTCACACTTTCCTGTTTCTTATTATTCTTCCTCAGCCTTGTTCTTTTTTACTTGGTTACTCTGTTGCTGGGATTTGTTGGGGAGGGATACCCTTCTTGTCCAAGAAAGTTTATCTCCATTTTATCTCAGAGACCTTCGTCTGGCTTCTTTCCTCTGCCAATTAGTTTTGGGTGAGGTACCTGATTCTTTGTAGTCATGGGCTGAGGCTGCATGCCACCATTTTTTCTTGACTACTCTTGTGCCCCATCTTTCCCAAGTTCCTTCTCTTCACTCCTTTCTGCTGCCTGTTCTTCCATCCCATTCCTCTTCCCCCATCTATTCCTCTGCAGGGCCACTTGGGGGTATCCTTTTGGTGCTGATTTTCCAGACCAAGACATGATCCAGACTGTACCCATTCATGGACTAGCATGAGTAAAGCAGGCAGGGGATTCTTTCCTATCTTCCATGCCTAGTTTAAAACATAGTGCTAGCCTGCTTTTAAAAACAGGGTTTTTGTAGTCCCAGATTGCACTGTTTTATGGAGATGTACTCCTTTGGATTCCACACTGTGCTTTCATCTCTCCATTTTTCTTCTAGTGGAGCTTGGGAGCCCTTGTCACTCACCAGTTAATAGCTGCTGGACCATTGAAAATTCCTCCTGAATGTGATCATTTCCACTCAATAAAGAGTAGGGTTTTGGTGTTCTGTTTATGTAGTACAGTTCAATCTTCTGGCTGACTTTTCCCCATCCTACTGCTACCCAAAAGTTGGGTTCCCAGGTAGTAAGGTGTTAGATTGGTGCAGGACAAGTCAACATAAATACTCACTCAATTGCAGAGTGGACATTACTTTCCCATTCTGCCTCACTGACCTTTAGGTGAAGATGATGGAGACCCTCCACCTACCATGGCCTGGAAACCAAATTCCCAGGCTTTGGACTAAAGTTGGCCCACCATGTAGAGTCTGACACACCATAACCACACTACACATATAGCACTTCCAAAAGCCTGATGCAGGTTTGGATTGTGCTTGTATCTTCTGCTCATCTTTGCAACACTTTCCTTCCTTTCCAGGCAAAGAGTGTACTCTGATACAGATGAGGTGCAGTCTCCCACGAGTGTGCCCCCATACAGTTTCAAAGTATAGAATGTCAGATTCCATTTGGGTGCTTTCTGAAGGGGACTCATTTTGGAAGTTAAGTATCATATTGGAAGTTAATATTTTCCAACACTGAAAATGTATTTCTGATTGATACTCTACTCACCTTGCTCACACTTCCCACCCTTTCTATCCACTTCTGGTGCATCTTACTTTCTTGTCTTTTCTCGAAGTGATCAATGAACAATCAATATAGAGGGAGCCAGCTTTGCTAGAAGGTAGTGTTGCACTCCTATTGGTGGATACTTGTTGCATACTCACTTGCATGCATGAATGCAACAATATTACATGGAAACCTATGAGATTAGGTGGGTTTGTTTTGAATTTCACGCAATGCTACATGAGGGCTATCTGCACTAGCCATCTCTAATTTAGCAGTGAAAGACTAGAGGGAAGGCAGCTAGTCATGACCACCCACCGCCAACTCTTGGGCTACTCTTTTACCAACGAATGTGGGACTGATCATCATATTATCATGTCTTTGTGGTTGTAAGGGCGAGCATATTTGGTGGGATGGGGATTCAAATCCGCAACCCTTAGATTGCGAGTCAAGCACCCTAACCACCTGGCCATGCCAGGCCAAATTTGGTGGGAGTCTTAAGGATAGTGGCAAGCACAAATGTTCACATGTAGAAGGCAGCACTGAATTAGAAAAGGTTGATGTGAATAGAAGTACCTATTGTAAATACATTTTCAGTGTTGGAAAATGTGAAGTTATGATATAATGGGAATAATTGAAACCTAACTAAATGTAGACAATTTTGATGACAGCAGTTTTTTTGCAATTAATGGTTAGAGGCTGCTTGATAAGTATAGAGTAGGAAAACAGGGGAAGGACTGGCTTCATATGTAAAGTATGAGTTCAGCCTATTCAAGTTGAGGATGTCAAAGCTAGTAGCAATTAGGTTGAATCTATTTGGATTTCTGTTAATAGTTGTAAGAGCAGAAGGCTTTTAGTTGGACTTTGTTACAGATATCCAGATGAAAGTGGTGAAATTAATGAGAAACTATACAGTGAGATATAGAATTCAACTTATAATGAAATTATAATTATGGGTGATTTTAATTTCAGGCATAAAGATTGGGAAATGTTAGGATCAAATCTTGAGGAAGACAGGTTTTTAAATAAATAAATAATTGATAAGGTAGAGATTGGGGAACATCTGGGTGCAAGTGATCATGTTTTGCAGCATATAGAGATAAGGAATAATGAGACTTTGGTTTTAAATTTTAAAAATACAAATTTAGAAGAGATGTGACAGGAACTGTGTTGTGAATTGGACAACTGAATTGGAGATACTGATGAAATTTGAAATATTTTAAAAATAAATTCTTAGAATATTAAAAAACAGGTTGGCTCACAAAGGATAAAATTAAAGAAAAATATTATAAATATAAGAAGATTAAATTGACTGCAATGATAGGAAATTATAGAAAGTGTAGAGATTTGGTGAAATAGAAAATTAGGAAATCAAAAAATTATATGAAAAAAGGTTGTCTGAAAATGTAAGAAAAATTTGTAAGGATTTCCTCAGATACATTAAGATTAAACAAAATGTTAGGATGGGAGTAAGTTCTTTGAGGGATAATACAGAAAGGCTAATATTTATGATTATGAAATGGCTATGTTATTAGATTTAGCTTTTTCTTCATTTTTTATTAATGAAGATTTAAGAAGTATTTCTCACTCTGAAAGGTTGCTAGATGGAAACAAGACTGAACAAGATGATTACATTAATTCTGAGCTTGTTGAGAAAAAAAATTGGAAAGTTTAAAGAATGATAAAGCTCCTGGGCCAGATAATATTTACTCAAAGATCTTGAAAGAAAGTTAAGGACTGGATATGTGAGTCACTTGCTATAATTTTTTTTCTATGTTCTTGAATAGTGGACAGGTGTCAGAATGTTAGAAGTTGGCTATTGTTATTTCATTTATAATGAAAGGCGACAAAAATTGTCACAGTAATTATGGGCCTATTAGTCTTACACCCATGGTGTAAGATATTTGAAAGTCTGATAAAAGATGCTTTGCAATGTCATTTAAAAAAGTTTAAATTTTTGTGAGTTTGTCAACATGGCTTACCTTACTAACCATTTGACATTCTTTGAAGAAGTTACTGCTTATGTAGATGAGGTTACCGGTGTGGATTTGGAGTATCTGGATTTTAAGAAAGCTTTTGACAAGGTATCACATAAAAGTCTTGTTAAAAAAAAGTTATCTGTATAGGCATGGGGGATAGGATGGCTTATTGTATAGGAAACTGGCTAGATGGAAGTAAATAGAGTGTTGTTATAAATGGAGTTCAGTAAAACTAGATTAATGTCATGAGTGGGGTACCTCAGGGCTCAGTGTTAATACCTTTGCTCTTTTTTGATTTACATCAATGACATAGGTAAAGTAATGATCAACAGATTATTTAAATTTGCTGATGACATTAAAGTTTTAGGTGCTGCTTTGTTGTGAGGGTTCTGATGCTGCTTTACAAAAGGATTTGTATAATTTGGTGAGTTTGGCAAATAGGTAGCAGATGACTTAATTATAATAAATGCAAGGAAATGCATGTGGAATATCACAGTTTGAATTATGAGTATAATTTTGATGGGAATAACCTTAACAGCATTATGGAAGAAAAAGATATTGGTGTTCTGGTTAATCAATTTCTTAAACCATCCAAGCAATATGCTGTTAATAGTGACAGGGCAAATAGTATTTTAAGTTGTATCTACAGAAATATTGAATACAAGTCTAAAAATGTTATAATGTTATTGTATAGATCATTGGTTAGGCCACAGTTGGAGTACTTTCTTTGTTCAGTCTTGGGCTCCTTACCTTTTTAATAAAATTGAAAGTGTTAATGCAACATCTTTTTTTCATATTTAGTGGTGAAAATGTTAAGGCCAGATAATGTAAATATAAATTCTGGCAGGGCAGAAATCATTTTCAGCTAAGAAAGCTTTATTTTCCTAACAGGGTGGTTGCCTTTTGGAACAGGCTGCCCTCAGGTGTGGTGGATGCAGTTAATTTAAGAGAATTTAAGAGAAATTTTGATAAATATTAGAACAATAAGGACTGGCATTGAGGTTTTAATTTAGTGAATAGGATGGCCTAGATAGATCAAAAGGCCAACTGTTGTCCTTTAATGTCATGTTATGTTTATACAAGCATCTTACTTTTGAATCAGTCTCAACCTATATGAATAATTATGTATCTTAATTGATACAATTCATTTACCTTGCAGATGCTTAACATTAAGTTATCATGATTCAGTAACTCATTTTGTTAAACACTATTATGGAAGAAAAAGATCTTTGAGTTTTGGTTTACCAGTCTTTTAAGCTGTCCAACCAATGTGCTGTTTGGTAGTAGCAGGGCAAATAGAATTTTAGGGTGTATCTACAGAAATAGTGAATACAAGTCTAAAGAGGTTATAATTTCCTTGAATATATCATTGGTTAACCCACATATGGAGTACTGTGTTCAGTCTTGAGTTTCATACTTTAGATAGGACATTGAATTGTTGGAAAGAGTTTCAAGGAGGGTTTGTAGGATGATATCTGGAATGGAAAAGTTGTAATACGAGGATATGTAAAGATCTTTGAACTTTTTTTTCAAAAAAAGAAGACTTAGAGAGGGATCTGATTGAGGTGTTTAAGATTGTTAAAAGAGTTGATAGTATTGATGCCTTGTCTTTATTTTTTTTATTTAATGGTGAGAATGGTAAGACTAGGGCAGAGTTGATACTTCCCCAAATCCCCAACTGGTGTTTTGAAAAATCTGAATAGAAAACCATGATTGATATCATATTGAAATGCCAAAAATTTCCATGCCTAAGGGCCTGAGTCCCAAATCTTTTAAGCATATAGCAACACCTCTGGACTAGAGGATACAGATATAAATTATGGCAGAATATAGGTCATCTTCAGCTAAGTTTTATTTTTCTCACAAGCTGGTTGGCCTACGAAACATGTTGCCTTCAAATGTGGTGGATACAGTTAATATAAGGGAGTTTAAGGGAAAGCTTGATAAATAACTGAATGATAAGGGCTGGATTTGAGTTTTTAGTGTTTAATTTAATTTAGAAAATAAAACAGCCTAGATGGACCAGCAAGTCCCTTGTTTTTTCATGTTAAGTTTTCATAGACAAAAGAAAGAATAATCCATCTGAGATACTTTCTGTAAGGTTTACATTTGTTTGATGCTTATGTTTGAAAACAAAATCATTTTGATTTAGGCAGACCTTTAATTTTCCACAATAATATATAAATGTTTGTGTATTACTGCAGTTTCAAAAGGGAGGAATATATTTATGTAAAATTTGGTTTTGGCATAGACTATGGTAATATTTGATGTTCCCATCTGTCATCCCAAAGATTGTTAAAAACAAAGTTTGCATTAGAAGAATCACTTCAGAAATATGTATTTTCCATATTGTTGGAACTGTGTTACAAATATGAATTAGAGAAATGGAGAAAGATCCCAGCTGTATTTATGGTTATAACATACACCACCAGTTGTACATTTCCTTTTATTTTGCACCTTTTTTATATTTATTGTGTTTTGTTTAAAAAAGACTTGCTACATTTGTTTTTATGAGGCACTTGTATCAAAAGATCTACTTTCAATATTTTGTGGACAACTTTCATATTCCTAAGAAGTCATAAATTTACATTTAGAGTTGCATATGGGATTTTATGCTGTCCCTTTATTTTGTAAACTGAAAAATATTATAAGATAATTATTATTAAATTATGGATAATTTTATTAATTATTCAAGCTTAGAATCCATGTGAAAGTGCCATTTCATAGTACAAAATTGGCACTCTATGCATCCCTAACATTTTGTAAGAGTTGTAATTTATAAAATAATAATGAATAAATGACTTCATTAGTTATTATAGCAAAATAAAAACTCAAGAGATGATTCCCCCATTTTTACTGATATCAGATTTTGAGTACCAAGCTGAATGTTGACCAGATGTGTATGTTTATGAAGTTTGTAAATTTATAGCTCTATTACAGATTAAAAATTAAAACTATGACTTTTGCCAATGGTTACAGCTTGAAAATTGTGTTTATATATCTTGCAGGAGTTTTCTTTAATTATTTGGAAGTCATTGTATGATTATTTATATGAAAGGTGTAACTTATTTTTTCTAAGTGAATAACCTACACTGCATAAGTATAGGTGTATCAAAATTACTCATCCAAATATAAACCATTATAAAACAACTAAGTATAAATGCAATAATACCAACATTATAACTAACAGTTTCAGATTCTTTCATCACCAGGTGGCTGATAAGTCAAATCAGCAAGAAAATAGCATCCATACAATGACACATGAGAAACTGTAGTTCATGATTCTCTGTCTTACTTGTGGTGGAATGTGGAGGTGTAATTAAGTGTACCTATGGTAACTCAGTATAGTTAGTTATAACTAAGCAAAGTTCCATATTTTTGCATTATTGTTCTTTATTTCATTTTATATTTGGATGAGTAATTTTGTTACACTCTGTATATATGGTGCTGCAATAAAAAAGTACAATTAGAGCTTGAGTTAGCAAGCAATATTATATTTCATAATCTGTTACTATGTACTAATACTGTAAGGCATAGACATTATATATATATATATATATTTGTTTGTTGTTAAGTTCCTAGGAAAGCCAATTTTGTACAGCATAACTGCTCTTAGAAGCCACGTGGAGTTAACACTTGCTGTACAGACAAATTCTGGTAGCTATATCCTGCCAAAAGATGTTCTGGTTATGCTCAGAGAGGGAAAGAAACTTCTTCAAGAATCTATAAGTTGGCAAGACATCACAATTGGATTTGAGCCTTGTGAGATCACACCTTGTCAAAATGGTGGGAAATGTCTCAGTTACCTGGAATTACAAGATTCTCTTTCTATCTTGGATTCTCCTTCTCTAGTCTTTACATCTCCAGTTGTTAGCCGTCAATTTACATGCACGTGCACAAAAGGATTCTCAGGGCCTTTATGCCAGTACAAACAAAACCCCTGTTCCCCTAATCCTTGTTTAGGAGGTGGCACTTGCCATCATGATGATGAAAATTTCCAATGTGTTTGCCCATCTAAATATCAAGGGAAGCAGTGTGAATCTCCAAAAACTGATGCATGTGTAAGCTTACCATGTCAGAATGGAGGAACTTGTGAAGAAGCACCAAATGGCTCATTTTTCTGTTTATGTCGTCCAGATTTCAGGGGTACTGTCTGTGAACAGACTACAGACAGCTGTCGTCCAAATCGCTGCTTAAATGGAGGAACATGTATTGTTGAAAATCCTGGTAGGTCACTTGGTAATTCTACTTTCATTTATATTAATTCAAGTATTTCATTTAAATCCACTGCTTTTAGAAAAACTAAGACCACTCATACTACTTAGAATTGTATTGATTCTGACTGAACACCTACATCAGATTCAACAATATCTTATTATTCTTTGTGAATTTATTAGGCAAAAAAGAAAAAGTTGTGTACTGAAAGATAATGTATATATTTGTATTTTTACCTCTAAAGCATTAATATGAAAATTTTATATTAGCTCTTTAAAATATTGCTTGTCAAATTTCTTGACTTATTGTTAAGGAGATTCATTTGCATTTTTTTTTTTTTAGCTCTGTTGTTTGTTTATATGCTTATTAAATATAATAGTGTTTGGAATTTTCTTTAACATATCATAACATATCAGGACAACAAGGGGTATGTTGGTTTATCGAGGCTATCCCATTCATTAAAAAAAAAAAACTAAAATTCATTCCTGATCATTTAAATGTTTATCAGGCTTCCCTTAAACTCCATTAAATTTACTGCATCCATCACATATGAAGGTAACCCATTTCAAAGACCAATCATCTTGTTAGAAAAGTAAAACTATCTAAGCTGAAGATGACTCCTATCCTGACATAATTTATACAACCTTTCCATCTCTGGCATCATCCTAATAGCTCACCTTTGAATCATTTCCTTTTCAACTACTGATTGAGCCCAATACTGTACACAATACTCTAAAGGAGGCATAACCAGTTACCTATACATTGAAATGATAACCTCTTAGAATTATATAAAATTTTTCTGTAAATACAAAACAAAGTCATATTTGCCTTACCACCAACAACAGCACACTGCTTGAATGACTAAAAAGACTGATCAATCAAAATATCAAGACCCATAACACTGATAAGGTTATTTACATAAAAATTTTACTTATAAATTCAGTTGTGATAATGCACATGCATTATCTTGCATTTATTATAATTAAAATCCATCTGCCAGTTATTTCCCCAACTCACCCAATGATCTAAATTTCAGATCACATTACTGATCATTGTATGCCTCATTTTTGTAACAGCAAAGTGAGGGGAGAGACTGCCTTTATTTTGTAGTAATGGATTTGTTTTGTTCATAGCTATAATATTAGAAATTAAAATTATCCTTTAATTATTTTGAGCAGTATTGTTAGATTTTATTTTAAGAGATGTTATTTAAATATACCCAGAACTGTTCATTTTAATAATTCTAATATCAAACTGTACTATACATCTTTATTTTTAGGTTATCGTTGTGCCTGCAAAGCAAACTATTTTGGAAGACATTGTGAGAAATCACCTTTTGGCTTCCACCGCTACTCTTACATGGCTTTTCCTGTACTGAAACCCACAACTAACGATATATCTATTATTCTTGCAACCAACAAACAAAACAGTCTCCTTGTTTATAATTATGGTAGACCAAGTGGTGGTAGATCTGATTTTGTTGCTTTAGAGCTCCATGATGGCAGACCACAGTTCTTATTTGGTGGTTCTCGTACAGCTGTTGCCACTATTGCAGCAAGAACAAATGTAGCTGATGGCAGATGGCATAAAATAACTGTGATACGCAATGGCAGGGTAGGTCTTATATCTCCAGGTTTGTTTGCACAGGATTATTATTCTACTATTTTATGTACCGAAAGATAAATATTGTATAATCAATGGTTTGACAAATCTTTTAACAAATTTATAAAATGAGTGAAAATTCTATAAAACAACACAATCTATATCTCAGTATAAGCATTAAATATAAACTAATTCATCCTCTAGCTCAAATCACATATGGGTATGTAAAAGGCTTAAGCCATGCTTTAGAATGAATAAATGTTTTTAAGAGTCCAGTTGAAAATAGCTTGAATATATTTCGTAGGTAATTATATGTTTCCATTTATACTGTTTATAGCACCTTTATTTTTTAGATACTTAAATATTTCTTAAATAATCCTTTTCTGTAAAAAAATATAAAAACAATTTCAGGTGACATCTTTATCAGTGGTTGGTTGTTCAAACAGTGGAGAAGTTTGTGAAGAATGCTCCCATGGCAATGCTAGTTGTTCTGTGTCCACAACAGGCCACATTGGGTATTTCTATTGTTTTTATATTTTAATAGCATTTAATTGCAATCATAAAACATATTTTGTGCTTATCTTCCCAAATTAGTTTAATATGACATAATTCAAGCTTGTTTAATTTATTTGAGTTAAAAATATTATAATGCTAAACTAATTAAAGCTAACTAAATTAAAATTGTAGCTATGTGTAAGTATTTGTTTGTTTCAATTCTGGTAGATTATTTTCATACTTAATAATTATAAATGGGAAAAATTATTTAAATTGAACAATACTACTATCACACAGGACTCTAAACTTCAATAACAATCCCATGTATCTTGGAGGTGTTCCTACTATTGATCCTCTTCTTGAGCAGCCAGGACAAGTGAGCACAGATGACTTTGTGGGATGCATTCACAGTGTGGTAGTAAATGGTCGTGAACTGGACCTGAACTCTCCTCTTCAGTTTGCTCATGTTACTCCCACATGTGAACGACAGCATAACAGCTGCAGAACTGACATTGAGTCCCTCTGTGGAGAAAATGGCATTTGTGAAGACTTGTGGTTTACAACCAGTTGCATTTGTGCAAATGGCCTGTGGGCACCAAACTGCAAACAAGGTAACATAATTTAGTTTTAAGATGAAATGGTAATGTTGAGGAAAACTATAACTATTGTTATAAATAGTTTTTATCTAGTGACCTTTTAACATTTAGCACATTTTTTAACATTATGCTACCCCCAATTAAAATAAAACAGTGTGTAATAGCTAGGCCACAAATGAAAATATACTTATCATAACATAATTCTTAAATTTGAATTTTGGTAATTAAATAATTTTTTAAATTAAGTATTTTACAAGAATTCACAAATGTTCTATGTTAACATTAAAAACAATGTTAGACCAACCTTAAAATTATTTTGCTAAAAAAAAGAAGTCTGTTTAACCTCATTAATTTTGAGTTTGTTAAGAAACAATTGTGAAGTTTAAAGAAAGATAAAGCTTCTAGGCCAAATAATATTTATCCAAAGATTTGAAGAAGGTTGAGGATTTGATATGTGAGGAACTTGCTACTACTTATTCTAAGTCCTTCAATAGTGGTTTGGTTTGTTTTGAATTTCGTGCAAAGCTACACAAGGGCTATCTGTGCTAGCCATCCCTAATTTAGCAGTATAAGACTAGAGGTAAGGCAGCTAGTCATCACCATCAACCACCAACTGTTGGGCTACTCTTTTACCAACGAATAGTGGGAATGACCATCACATTATAATGCTCCCATAGCTGAAAGGGTGAGCATGTTTGGTGGGATGGGGATTCCAAATTGTGACTCTCAGATTGCGAGTCGATTGCCCTAACCACCTGGCCATGCTGGGCCACCCTACAATAGTGAGCAGGTGCCAGAAGATTGGAAGTTGGCTAATGTTACTCCACATTTCAAGGGAGTTAATAAAAATTGTTCCAGTACTTTTAGACCATTTAGTCCTACATCAGTGGTAGGAAATGTTTATAAAATCAATTATTAAAGTTGGATAGTCAGTATGGCTTCATTAGTAAAAACTCTTGCCTTATTAATCTTTCCACATGTTTGAAGAGTTTATTGCTTATGTTGATGAGAGTACTGGTATGGATTTGGTGTATTGGAACACTTTCATTAACCCCCCCAAAAAACAAAAACAACGTACATCACATAATAGTTAAACGAACTACCTATACAACATGTTAATTTAGCTTGTATAATGTGTAAAGTTTAGTATACTCTAAACTGTTGTAGTTATGGCACACAATCGGCACATAATGCTGTTTGAATACAAGAAGAGAAACAATGCCTCTGTAGCCACAAAGAATATAAAAAAAAGTTTATGGAAATGTTTTGAACGTTCATAAATGTCAACAATGGTTCAGCAAATTTCATTCAGGTGACTTTAGCCTTAAAAACAGTGATGGCAGGGGCCGACATGTTGGAATTGATATTGATGCTCTGAAAATGCTTGTTGAGTCTAACCCAAGGCAACACATTCGTGAAATGGCTCTGAAATTGCATGTCTCTCATGAAATAATACGTAAACATCTAAGGAATGTGGGAAACTCCATAAAAAAGGTGTTTGGGTGCCTCACGAACTCTCCGATGATCATTGTATCTAACACATGAATGTTGCTTCGTCTCTTTTGCCATGTAATGTGTATGAACCATTTTTGGATAGAATTCTCACCGGTGATGAAAATTGGATTCTCTATGCGAATATTAAATGCCAAAAACAAAGCTCAGTCCTAGATAAAAACCACTTCCAACCCCAAAACCTGGACTCCATCTGCAGAAAGTTATGCTTTGCATTTGGTGGGACATCAGAGGAGTAATTAATTTTGAACTCCTCAATCCACAGAAAACTGT